ACCTCCCTCCCTGCAGCCCCACTGTGGTAAAAATCTCAAGGCAACGTGGAGGCTCTTTAAAGTGTGCCTTCAACCAAACACCATTCTCAGTCCTGATTCAGAGTTTACCTAAGAAACATGCTTTGAAACTACTGAGATATTGCACAGCTGAACATCTAGTTGCTTTGAAACTGGCTGAGTGAGGTCAAGTGTTCTCAAAGGCAGATGACCATTCCTTCTTGACAGAAGTGATGACCATTTCCTACCCTTGGGTGTTTTCACTGTTTACCCAAGAAAACCTCTGATTATGACTGAGGAACCCACTGGAAAGTCTTCTCTCTAAGGCAGACCAGACTGGCTCAAACAGCACGTTTGTTTCAGCGCCACCGGGCTCTGCTGCTAAGAAAGCATCGCCCACAGCCATCTGGGGTGTACCCAGCCCCCCTGCAATGCAGATTCTCAGCTTGGGTTTGTGTCTCTCTGAACCTGCGGTGGTGCAAGTGCAGTTACTTAAATTTCATAGGAAGTGTTTAAAAGGGATATGCACCGTAGCATTTAGAATCCTGATCCAGGACTAATGGAGGTTAGGCAGTGAGTTTTAGTTGATTCCTACACAATGGTGCTTATTACATACCAGGCCCTGTTCTAAGCACTTTGCATATATTAACTCACTTAATCTCATGACAACCCTAGGCACTAATACTCTTAAATGCCTTGTTACTCCCCATCCCATTTTAAGAGATTATTATAACCCTGTTTTACATGCCCCGTCTGAGGCATAGTGAAGCTAAATGACCTGCCCCAAATTCCACAGCTGTTAAAGTACAAAGCCAAGGAATTGATCTGAGGTGAAGAAAAGTGCACTTTGAAGCCTAAAGCCTTAAAAAGGAAATTAATGGCTCAGACAAATGCCAGATTTATGAATAAGCAATAAATAATGGAAAATAAACTTGACCTATTGAGCTGGCAGAGACACATTTGAACCCAGGCAGTCTGATGACAGAGATCACTTTCTTAGCTGCTATGCTGCACTACCGCTTTAAATACATGGCAATGTGAAGGCTAAAGCAAAGACATCCTGTTCAACTGACTGGGAACATGCAAGCATCCCGAGTCTGGAGACTGTTATAGTCCTTTGTACCCCTCAGTGCTGAGCAACCATGACATACTCGACAACACATATAGATGGATGATAATTTACCCCAAATATTTATATATATGCAGCAAACAATGCTAGCTCCACTGGGCCTTAGCCACAGTGACGTTTATGTGGCACACAGAGCAATTATTACCAAAGACTCATGGGTATTACTAGAAGCAAATACATAATGTTTGGAGATTTTATCATCGTTGGCCATAAACTAATTTTTTATTCATATTTTCCTGATTACCAAAATAACACATACTCATCAGAAAAATTCAAATATACAAATGATTGCTAAAATACACAAACCGTTCAGACATTACAGTGAAACACGCATAGCATTAGGACAATGGTTCAAAATAAAGTAATTGAGAGTCCCAGCATTTGACAGGCTTTGAAAGGTCTTAACTTTAAGAAGTCTCTCCCTTTTTAAGGGTTAATTTTCAGGGGAGGGGGATCTTACCTGATAGCCAGGTATATATAATAACTTTTAAGCTGTCTGTAAATGTGTCTTAGTAGAGAAATCTAATGGCATCTATGTATAAGAAGGTGAGACAGTGCATTGTTTCTTTAGGCATGAACTAAATTTATATAAACGCTCAGGTAAGTCCGTTGGAGTGGCTTTGATGTTAGGCCAGAGTGAGGACCACTTGGATCTGAAAGCATACGTCTAATCCCAACTATCTGCATTTTGAGATGAAGTGTGAGGGTAGGGCTCCTGCTTTCAGGATCTTTTCTTTCTTCTCTAGTCATGTTTCCTCCTCAAATCATGTCCTACAGAAGGTTCCAGCCCCCTCAGTAAAAGCTATCTGGTCCTACTCTAACTGACACAGTGGAGATGGCACCAGAAGTCTCATCAAAGACCATGGGAGACTCCCGGCTTTACCACTTACTAACTGGGGAGCAGCTTAAACTGAGGGCATACCTCCACGTGCTCATTCGTCTATGAGCGTAGTGCTACTGCCCTATCTCTTTCGTGGGGTCATCAGGAGACTATGATAAAGTCAAGAATATGAAAAAGCTTTGCAACCTCTTCCTGCAGTGCATGCGGGTTAGAGAGTGAGGTGCTAATTCCTCACGGCTCGAATGTTTGCCTTGATTGGGAAGGATTGATCTGAGGTGGAGAAAAGTGCACTTTGAAGCCTAATGTCTTAAAAAGGAAACTAATGGCTCAGACAAATGCCAGATTTATTAATAAGCCATAAATAATGGAAAATGAACCTGACGTATTGAGCTGGCAGAGGGACATTGGGTTTCAGATACTCCCTATTCCATCTCTCCTTGAAAGACAAAAAGGAAAGAAGGATGGGATCAAAGAAGGAAGGAAGAAAGAAAGGAAGGAAGGAAGAAAAACATTATACCATAAAGAGGAGCATAATTCAAAAGGAGAACATAACTTGGGGACAAAGGCACTCAGTGAGAAAATACTTGTCCAGTTTCTCTTGCTAGCCTGAGCTCCTCTAAGGTGGGACTAGATCTTATTCACCTTTGTAGGTCCTACTCCTTGTAAAGCATGTGTCATGTCCTAGAAACTATTTAAGGTGAACCATAGGGCATTGCCATTTTTGTAGATTAAAAACAGCCTAAATTGACAATGCCATATGTGTCAACCTAGTAAGTGTTAGCTAAAGATGCAAGAGACCTAAGGGTCATATTCATTTAGCCAGCCTTAACCCCGAGTTCCTTCATTACATCTTCCCACCTCCAGCACCAGCTCAGAGAGGTGGGACTTCTCTTTCACAGCCTGTAAGAGTCATGCCTCTCTTTAAAGGCTGCCCTTGGTGTTCCCCGAACCTGAAAATTTATTAAGTGTATGCTGTACCAGTCTCTCTCTCTTATGGTCTCCATACTGCTAAAGAAATGGCCTCATTATGACCCATATTTAAATTCCCATTTCATTTGATAAACACAATAGGCTCCAGTGAACAAAATGGGTGACCTACACTAGGATGTCAAACAGACTTTTTTATTTCCCTTTTTTCTCTTCCCCTTCCCTCCTTCCTCTCCTTCCCTTCCTCTCTCCTCTCATCTTCTTTTCTCTTTTTCTTTCTCTCTCCCTCCTTTCCTCTCTCCTTTCTTCCTTCCTTCAAGACATGGAGACATTTTTTTTTCTCGTTCTATGCAGGTGAGCCTGAGGGAAACCACAAGCTTTTAGGCTGGAGAGGAGACCGCTGAATGAATTGGGCAGGTGAAGCTTATATCTGGGTTCCTTGAGAGGACACCTGAGTCCTACATCCTTCCTATAGCTCTTCTGATGCTAAGCATTAGAGGCCATTGAATTGGATGTTTATGAATTTAGTGGATTTAAATTGAGATCATGAGCTTCCATTTCTCCTTTCATATATTTGTTTATTTTGTTTATTTTTGCCTGAAAAATGAGGTTTGGCAGTGTTGGGCTCTGTGATAAAATTGTGTAGCATTGACTTCGTAAACAGCCATCTTTGTATCATATCATGTCACTGACATGAAGAGTAGTATTGCAAACACTGTTTTCTTTTATTATAATAACTCTATACAGAAGCCTTGAAAGGTATGATTTTGTAGAATACATCTGGCCATTAGGTTCCCTTTGCTACAAAACAAGCAACAGGAGAGAAAGGGGTCTGGTGGAGGCAGAGTGATAATCATGTGAACACACTGGAAATCAGGCTCAGTCAAAGGACAGGCACTTTTGTCTCCTTTGTTCCCTGCTCCATCCTAGGGCCTAGAGCAGAGCTGGGGATGAGGTATGATGAGAGAACAGGTTAAAGTTGACAGAATGACTATGACACTTACATCTCTTGCATCTGTATCTAGAACCAATCGGATACACATTAGGTAGGTTGAGAAACAGCTGTTGAAAGGATGCAGAGACACTGCAATTCAACTATCAAGTAGATTTTCTCCTAATTCCATAACTGATCAACTCACTAGGCATATATCCCCTCCAAGACAGTTTCCTCAATTCCGAAATGGGGATTATCGTACCCGTTTGGCAGGATTATTGAGAGGATTAAATGAAAAGTGATGTAAATGTGAGTGCCTTTTCTTTCCACGCTCTTCTAGTTTCCTTAAAATATATCTGTGCATATGTGAGAGAGTGTGTGTGTGTGTGTGTGTGTGTGTGCACGAGTGTGTGTGCTTGCTTGTGTGTGTGTGACTGTGTCTGTCTGTAAGGGGTGAGGGAGGCTAGAAGAAACAAGTGGCTTGGGTCATGTTGTTCTGGGTTTCTCACCCCCCAACGATGCCACTGTAGGCTGGAGAATTCTTTGTTGTGGGGGGCTGTCCCATGCAGCAGCTGTTTGGAAGAATCTCTGCCTTTTACTCACTAGATACCAGTTACATCCCCCAGTTGTGACAACCAAACATGTCTCTAGATATTGCCAAATGTTCCCTGGGAGGCAAAATTGTTCCCTGTTAAGAACAACTGCTGTTAGCTGTATCACCCATTGAATAATTAAGTATTTCACTGACAAGTTGATCAGGTACTTTGAAGACATCGCCTGTGGCTATATTATGTTTAAATGTATATAATAAAGTGAGGGCTTATATAGAAGAAAAAGCTGATATCAAATAAAAGTATATAGTCAATCCATAATGATCCATGAAGTGAGTGATGATATAGATAATAAAAGAAGTTATTTCAGGCACACAATATTCCCTGCATTAGATTGCTTTTCTCATTATGGTTGGTTTAGGATAAAAATATTAATAATAATCAATTTCTTGAACACCCTCTGACAGACGTCAGGGAAAGATGGCAAGTGTGCATGGAGAGAAATCATTTGGGTTTCTTAAATTTTTATGGCCACTCATAAAGTAGGTGCATTAACCACAGATGATCAAACTGCATTATCCATTAGCAAGCTTAAAAAGTAATAGCAACATTCATACTTACAGGTGAATTAATGACTTTAGTCCCCGGAAAGTATGTCTTGAAATTGACTTGATGTTGTTGTTTTCTATGAATCTGCAATAAGTTATAATATTTTTTGTCAAACAGTTACAGGGACTTGAGAGTACTTGTCCTGAATCATCATGTTTAAAAAAAGCTTTTTTACTTACAAATACTCTAGATGTGGAAGACCAATAAAAGCATCATCACTGATCACATCAAAGGAGTTCGATGTGAATAACCTGCCCAGAAAAAGTACACAATGAAAATGGTTAAACTGACAGATTGTCAATCTTTGCTGCTTTTATCTCTCAGAAAAATGAGTGGGAATTGTATACAGAAAAATGTCTGCATGGCTGTCTGCTACAGTGTTAGTTATGCAGATAATCTATGCAGCTTTTTTTTTACTCCTAATCATCTCCTTATCAAAGGCTTATCAAGGGCTGCCTGGTCCCTGACTCCTCACAATGACTGCCATATGCCCTAGGTGACATTTTGAGATACAATCAGAGCAGGTATGCTAGCGGAAGCAACCAAAGCAACGTTTTACATATTTTCATGACAAAGGCACTAACAATCTTTTCTGCTTGTTCTAGAAACCTCTGGAGTGTTCTGACTGGCAAAAACAATGGTGCTGTGGGGTTTTTGGCCTGGGAAACCTAAAAAAATTAAGTTGTGTGCCCAGTTGTGCTAAGCTATCTCGTAACAGACAGGCTATTAACACTGGCTCCATGAACATCAACCAACCTTCTCCTTTGCAAACAGACTGAAAATGGGAAACATGAGGTTTGGGAAGAGTCTTAGACCCATTTTATTACCAAATAGTTGAAGAAATCACTTTTACTTGGACAAATTTATTTGCAATTTCAAAATCCACAAGGATTTGGTTTCGAAATTACTGATGAAAAAGAACATCAATCAGCCATCCCACGCCCTGTTGAACTCCTTGGATAACTGAATGACAGGCTTAAAAGAGATAGTTTTAGACCAAACAGTACAATAATATATTATGTCATAATGTGATAATAATAATAGTAATTCTGTTAGTAAAGATTATCACTTTTACTTTTGAAGCGGGGGATTTCATATAACTGCCACTAAAAATCTTAGTGAATTCACCTCTGAGTGTGTGAACTAGAGGAATTAAAACTAAGAGTTCTCACTTTCTGAACACTTATGAGTAATTTATTTGTCATCTGGGATCGCTTCAAATAATCAGAGAATAATCAAAGGAGGGGGACAGCAAGGGGTTAGAGAAGAATTGGCAGGAGTTGATAATTTTTGAAGTTAAAAAATGGATACACAAGAGTGAATTTTACTATTTTCTCTACATTAATATATACTTGAAATTTTTCATAAAAATGCAAGCAATGGGAGATAGGAATGAACCAACCAAACAAGATGAGATGATCTCTTGCATTTCTTCCTGAACTATCAATCCTAGAGTGTTGTTGGATTGTCTTCTAATCCCTCATGCCTCTAATGTCATGGCTTTGTACCCAAGTAATTCACTGGGCTCTGAAAAGCCAGCACTAATGAATAGTAATACATGTTAGAATTCCATAGTTACTAAAACAAATTCAAAATGGTATGATTTTCATCACAGCTTTGGCAATCGTGTCTCTTCTCACTTCGTGGCTCTGGAAAACAAGAAAACTGCTCAGCTTGACTCCAAGGTAAGCTAATATCCAAAGTCTTCCTTAGGTTCCAGATTTGCATTGCATTCTGCACAGGCAGCATCAGCGGTAGAGAGAATGGAATCAGGCAGGAATACGTATATACAAATATTATACCTCCCACACTCAGTGATCTGAAAAATGGCTCATGGACCAGGGACTTCATAATCTCATATTCCAAGTTGCCAGAAGAAATAGTTTCAATTGCTGCTTCCCTTTATGTGAAATCAGATGCAGGACAGGGTAGGAAATGAGTATTGGTGGGCAGAACTTGCCCACGTATGTCACAGGAAGAAAAGAGAGGATTTCCCTGGACTTTTTGTCTGTTTGTTCATTTCTTATCCCTAACATCTGTGATACCACCTGTCCTATAGTGGATACTGATTAAATATTTGTTGAACAAAGAGGAATGGACTTTACATTAAATTCTGATCATTACCATATAACTGGATTAAAAGTTTCTTACAGCAGGAATGTGCCCTTATTTGTTTTTGTGTCCCCACCCTGGAGCACAGTTCCGGACTGAATAATGTGTGTTGAACTACATTTCAAGGACTAAAACCTCTGATGAGAACTACAAATACATATGCAAAACTGTGGATGAATATTCAAGAAGAGGAGGCAAAACACAATAAAGTGCATCCTAGATGACTGTACTTATATAAAGTACAGAAACTAATCTGTGTTGCTAGAATCAGGAGAGTGGTTACCCTTGGAGGCAAGGAGTAATTGGAAGGGAACACAAGGGGCATCTTTGGGGTAACGAGGCTATTGAGTTTCTTGTAACCAACTGGGTGCTGGTTACAAGGGTAATGACTTTGAGATAAAAAGTCATTGAGATGTACATTTATAACGTGCACTTTTTCTTTATGTATATTATACTTCAATTTAAAAGTTTATTATAAAAGCTAAAAAAAAAAACCACCCTCTGGCTAAGATAATAATGAATATCATAATCTCTCAATGCTAAATTCAATTGTAGTTTCTATGGAAAGAGGTATAAAATTATACATACATTCTAAAGATAGTTGAGTGGGCTATCCATTTTATTATCCTACGTATACTTAAAAAGACTCCTACATCATATTCTATACAGAGGATGAAACTCTGACCCTTAATTTGTATGGATTCCTGTAAATATGTTAGATTTTATTATTGTAATTTGTTGTTGAACTGGACATGTTAAAGCATTCCACAGTCTCTGTTAAGGGAAACTGTGCCCTCCCCCCACCTCACCAATGCAGAAAACAGAACTGGGGCAGACCAGGGTGGCCATGTTCTACACTACACAACCTCTGTCCCTTTCCACAGAGTAGCCAGTCTCTACATCAAGCAGCATCACATGGCCCAAGTAGCCTGGTTTAAAAAGGTGAGTTGGGGCTGGGTGAGGTGGCTCTTGCCTATAATCCCAGCACTTTGGGAGGCCGAGGCGGGTGGATCACGAGGTCAAGAGATCGAGACCATCCTGGTCAACATGGTGAAACCCCGTCTCTACTAAAACTACAAAAAATTAGCTGGGCATGGTGGCGCGTGCCTGTAATCCCAGCTACTCAGGAGGCTGAGGCAGGAGAATTGCCTGAGCCCAGGAGGCGGAGGTTGCGGTGAGCCGAGATCGCGCCATTGCACTCCAGCCTGGGTAACAAGAGCGAAACTCCGTCTCCAAAAAAAAAAAAAAGAAAGAAAGAAAGAAAAGAAAAGGTGAATTGGGCTCTTGGGGACCTGGAATTAGCAGACTGAGAAATGGAGCCAGCCGGTAGAGAAGCCAAAAATTAAAGGATCCCTTAGGGTTGAGTTGGATCTATGGCAGGTAAAATTGTGTGCAAAGAATGTTTAGAAGAATGCAGAATTGTGCAGAAGACCTCACCAAGGGGAGTGTTTTGAAGCCTGGTGCAGGAGAGACACCTAGATCTGTGTTGGAACCTGAGCCAATGCTTCTGAATCCTGCTTGCTCTTGGAATCACCTGGACAGCTTTAACAATAAGGATACTTGGTTTCCACTCTTAGGGATTCTGGGTAAATTCTAAACCTGGGGTGTCACCTGAGTTATTAAGAAACTCCCCAGGTTACTCATATGCAGCCAGGGTTGCACCTGGTAAGCTTACCAGGTCAATCAAAACACTGCCCCCTTTACCTGTGGCGACCCAGGGGCCTCTGCTCCTTGCAGCAAGTCTCCTGGAGCAGTTGCTGTGGGCTTGGAGGAGCCATGGCCTTTCCTGTCCCTATAACTATGTGTGGCCAAGAGTCTGCAATAATATGAGTTGGAAGTGACAACTATCTTCACAACAGCAGCATCATAGAGGGGTTTGTGAAACCAATGTACTATCTAAATGGCCTCTTTACTCTGAGCCACAGATCAGAGATCTGGACCCTGCAGGACTGCCAAGCAGCCAGCCTGTGGGTTTGTGCAGAGGTGGTGCGGAATTTGCCCTCTGCCCCAGTTCCATGGGAACATTGAGGTTTCTCCTCTTTCTTTAGGAGGCATTTTCCTACGAAGCCAAGCATTTCCCCCTAGAATTTTGGTGGAGGTGGACAGAGGGATGTGCCTGATCTGTCTATACCTTCCCCCAAGGAAGAACTGTGCACTCATTAATTTGGTTAAGAAAAGGGGCTGTGGGAGGAGAGGCAAGGATATCTTCTTCTGTAACCAAGGGAGTCCATGTTTCCTTACCAAGAGGGAGATTTAAAAAATCATTTATATGAACTATGAATTCCAGGCAGGTACTAGCTCATTCTTTGAATAATGATCTTTGCCTTCGTAATAGCCTACATGTCATAGACTCCTGCCTGGATTGTTTTACTTTGTCTTTAGAACAACTCTGTGAAAGTGGTAAAGCAGATAAGATCTATTTGACAGAAGAGGAAATGGAGGCATGGAAGGCTTCTAAACACTTTCCTTAAGGTCACAAGGCCCAAGACCCCTGGTTCAGTACTCTTTTCCACACACTGGGTGGCCTCTCAGTGCAGGTCCCAGGTCACACTATGACATAATGTCCATGTTCAGGTGAGCTGCCATAATAACACCACTCAGCTCATATGGATTTAAGAAATGTAATTAAACCATAATGTCTTTCTTAGAGGAATTAATTAATCAGCATAAGCAGTCTTACAGCCACATCCAGATCATATCAATCTGTTTTTTTCAAGTAGAAAGTTTTAAAATTTTGAATACACTTTTTGAAGTTTTTCTGTTTTGTTGTTGTTGTTGTTGTTGTTGTTGTTTTTGACAAGATCTCACTCTGTCGCCCAGGCTGGAGTGCGGTGGCATGATCTCAGCTCACTGCAACCTCCACCTCCCCGGCTACAGCAATCCTCCCATCTCAGCTTCCCAAGTAGCTGGGACCACAGGTGCACAAAACCAAGGCTGGCTAATTTTTGTAGAGGCGGGGTTTCGCCATGTTGCCCAGGCTAGTCTTGAACTCCTGGGCTCAAGTGGTCCACCTGCCTCGGCCTCCCAAAGTGCTGAGATTACAGGCATGAGCCACTATACCCAGCCTTGAATACGCTTTGCTGAATTCTGTTTATAAATAATATATACTTATTGTAGAAATGCTGGAAAACACAAAAAA